TTCAACTCATTATATAAAAATATATGGTTAATTTGCCCAACCGTGAACAGATTACAATGAAGGATTACAATTATTAACTATATTAATTTTATTTTTATACATAAAATATTTTATGTTTAACAAAAACAACATATTCTAATGCAAACAAAAGATTAGCAAAGTGAAATATAAAAATAAAAACTATCATAGTTTGACTATTTGTCCAAAAATATGCTTTTATGCAGCTATGAACTATAAATTTCAATACAATAGAGAACAATACTCTCAATTATCTCAATACATCTCAAAATATAACTTATGAGATTATACTAACTTGTACAAAATCACATAAAAATTTATAATATGTAGAACCAAAAATTGGTTCTTTTGTATTAAGATTCTTATTAGATAAGGACAATAAATATTTATAGTAGACATAACTTTTTCATGTTTATTACAATGTTTAGCTACAAATTAACTAATCAAGATAAATCATAAACACAAATGTAAATATTAAAAGTGAATCAACTTTCTGAAATAATGGATTGTATAAATTCATTAACTTTTTTAATAACATGCAATTATTTTTGTTGGTATTGATAAAGTAATATAGATTCTATAATATCCTACACATAGCAGTTATTTTAAGTCTTCATTAATTTATTTTAGTGTAGGAGTTTATCATTGCAATTAAATACACTTAATTCTATAGAGCTCATAATAAATTAAATCTACATTATAATACACTATAATCTAGATATATTATTAATAATAAAATTAAATACCTGTACTTCAGATTCAACATTCAGTGGTCGTAAAGGAAACCAGTGATCCTTGTCATTAAATGATGTTAATTGGTCCCTTCGGACAGTTACTCTTCCTAATGGTCTATCTCGTTCATAAACACATACACCAAGGTAACGGAAACGACGAGGTATCTCAAACTCAAATTCTTCACCCCAAAATGGACTAAAAATAAAAATAAAAATATGAATAATAATAATATTGATTAAGCTATATGTTAAAAATAAATACATAATTAAACAACTAAAAATATTGTAGAAATAAAATATTGTATACTACCATAAAATCAGTTTTGTATTTATACCTAAGGTGATTTATATTATATATTGTAGAAAATAATTATGAAAAGAGGGAATATTTAACTAGGTTGGTACTGAATACTAGTATCGCAGAAATTAAATTGTCATTACATTATTTGTTCAATAGAACAGTGTAAAAATCAAAATATGATTTTTGTTATTTTTAGACTATTTTCTAAAAACGGACATTTTAGTAGCTTAAATATTCTAAAAATTCTCCTGTGAATAATGAAACAAAGAACCCACCTAACTGTAACTTACATTAATATTTTAAAACCAAACAACAACTTTTTAATATATTATCTAAATGACCATTTAATATAAATGCAGTAATTAAAAAATTCTACTAAATTTAATTTACCATTTAGAAAATGTCATAAATATTATTTTTACATTCTATCTCAATTTAATAATAAAAAAAATTGTTTTCATTAATTATAAGTAATTACCTACTTAAAACTTAATTTTTAACTTATTACTTTTTTTTTTTTATAGAAAATAAAAAATATTTATTATCTATATTTTAAACACAAAAAGCAAAATGTGATCATACTATAAAAATAAAGAATCCAGTAATGGTTTTAAATAGGTAGTTTTTATAACCAAAGATATATACATTATTTATTATTATCACATCAAAGTTTATTCTTTTATCATACATAAATTAATTTTATTTTTAGATTTAATTATTCTAATTATTTTTCAAAAAAAAATCAAAATGTTATGAGTTTATTTTTAGGCTATTTAAATTTGATAGAGATCTTTCTCTTTTGTATAAAAACCACATACAACACAAATATCAATCAATTTTAATTAAAATTTATTTTTTCAGCTTTCAATTAAAATAAATATAAATTGTTTTAATTATAAAATACATTTCAAAATAATTAATATCTCTCAAAACATAACTTGTTCAACTAAATATAAGTAAAAACTAATTTAACATTTAAAAGAATTCATAAGTTTACCTAAAAATTGTTTATGTTATTCTGCACAAACAGTGCCAGTGAATTCCCAAGTAAATGTGTCTTAGTAGTTTGCCAAATTATATACCACAGTTAAAATTATTTAGATACTTGTGTTATCACCCTTGCCAAAATTTTAATATTATAAAATGTACTTAGTTTATGGTAAATATTTATTACATGATTATGAAATGTTTTTAAATTGCAATACTCTTGATACCTACTCAAAACAAAATTAATTTTCACCCATAAAATTTTATATAACATATGAATATAAAACTAAAACAATGTAGGTAACTAGATTTAATAAAACAATAAAATAAAATAATAGAATATAGTAGAAATACAAAGTAAAGGTTAAGTACTAATTTAGGGCGTAGACTGATTGGGAGAATTGACCTAAAAATGGTCTGTTTGGACAAATAAATATATATACCGTTTAGGCGAAGGTTTATTCAACTAAAAATACCTTTTAGGTAGTATGCAAATGCTTGTAATATAAATTATACACTAAATAATTAATTAAACAAAATCATATCAAATATAAATAATTAACAATAAATCCTATTTTAAAAAAAAATATTGGCATAGATATTAATAATATTATACAGGTAGGTAGTAATCTAGTCAAAAAATAATTTCACTCATCCAAATGATACAAAATAGTATCAAAATATGATAAAATTATTACCTTTGCCCAAACAACCACCACCTCTAATTTAGTTAAATTCATTAAAGAATATGATTCTCATACTAATTAACATGGAGGATTCCAAAAATTTCTCTGAACTCTAGGTATATAATATATTCATTATTCATAATAATTTAACTTATTTCTAGTAATTATTAAGAATATTAAAAATGTAAAACAAATGAAATATAATGATTGCACTTTTAGTGAAGTATATTATACATAAATGTATAGATTATTTAAACTACTGATTATGTATATCATTTTATCAGTTATTTTATACAAACAAATGAATATTTTATTTTTAATTAAATTTAACAATGAACGTTATTGAAAAATATGTCTCTTTCAGTGGTTAAATTAAATAGAATATAGTAGACCACTGACTGAGAAATAATTTAATAGGGCATAGTAGTAGTTAAATAAGAATATTGCAAAAAAAATACTAATTTATCATATTTTATAAAAATATTAAATTGTATTTAAGAGCTATATATCATGATAAATTATAACGCTACCTCAATCATCTTATTTAACATACTTTACCCAAATATTATTTACATAGTCATAAAATTAATATTTTTGTAAAACAAATATTTATAATGTCAATAATATATTCACGTGCCATTCAAATTATAAATACGTGCCTTTGAGGTATTATCTCGCTATCATCTGCATCCATAATTACACATATAGGTAGTGGTAAATAAATGTTAACTCCAATTTCAAAAAAAAGGTAGGTAAAATATTATCTAAAATTTTTAAGTAAGTATTTAAGTTTAATTTAAAATGTTAAATCATTTTTTATGTGACTACTTATTAGTATGATATAAATAAAGTTGATCTCTAATCACATAATGGTAACAATGGATCGATCTTAAATTCAACTTTTAAATATTGTATTAATTTTATCTTAATTGTTTATTCTTATATTAAATATAAAATAGATGAAATTAGTTTGATTAACTATAATAGCACATACAACTAGATATCATAGCAGAAACATAATAAGTAGACATAAAAAAATATTTAAAATAACACTATAATAAATAATTAAACCAATTATGAATAATATTTAGGTGCACACCATAATAAAGTAGATCCAATTAAACATTCAATTTTAAAATATTTGTTAATTAAATTCAATCAAAATTGTATTAATTTGTTTCATGTTCATGAAATAAAATCTAATATTTTTTTTTTTTAATAACCAATAATAAATTGAAATATAATTTTATTTTATTAAAATTAAATCTTATTTTCAAAAAAAATGTATAAAGTTTACCTATATTAAATAGATATACGTAATACATTAAAGCATAATATAGGTAATGCAGTGAATTATCCACTACTCATTATTACTTATTGGGCAATAAATAGTAAATCTCTTATTCAAAAAGTATCTGGAATCATTACTAAACAGAATAAAATCCTGCACGACCCAGTGTACCAGCGGTTTCTATTACAAAGGCATGTCGACAGTACATAGGTATGACCAAAAAATTAATAAGATGCAAACAATCGGTAAGGTAGATGTACTCACTCAATCGCTTTTTCAATAGTAGCTGTACGGAATATTTCTTCCTGGTCAAGTGTAATCGTGCAATGTCCGTCTCTGAGTGACGAATGTCCCTTGCCCAAATTCTTTGCATCACCTACATTCAAAACAACAACAACACTTCGGTCATTCATAACTATTTTTTCGGAGGTTAACAGGTCTCCATTGATGTATTTACATGTAAGGTAACGCGCAGGGAGAGTCATCGACACGGGCACCAGAAAAGATGGCCCTCCCAACACCCATGTCGAATACATGACACGAAACAACGGACGTAATGTTATGATATACCACTCACCGATTTTGATCTTTAGTCTCTCCACGACCCTGAAGTTTGGCTTACCCTCGGCCATCGTCATTTCGCGCAAACCCGGTGCACGTCCACCGCCAATTCATCAACGACGTTTCATTCAAAAAAGTAATTGATTCATGGTTTCTCGGTGTGTGTGTGTGTGTGTATGTGTGTGTTAGTTGTGTCCTTCCTTCCGAAAAGCGTTCCCATTCATGCGAAATGCTCGGGGGACAGGACGGACGGGTGAACAAGCGCGCGCGCGTGTGAGCGAGCGACGCTGACGGAACGATAGTGCAACGAAGACGGCAAGAAGATTATGGGCAAGCCGTGGCGCGCGGGGTTTCCCGTCGGGCGGAAACGTATGTCGGTCAGGCGTTCCCAAACAAGACACGTTTCCGGCCAATCCGCCTAAACTGCTGCTGCTTCGCCCGTCGACCGGACGGACGGGCCGACCTCACCACTTCCCCACACGACCGCTCCAACGAAACAGTGTGAAACAGATTTTGGGACTCCCCTCCGAACGACAACAATGTGACGGTCGGTGGTCAGACGAACCGTGGTTGCCGGCCGTCGCTGCAACTTAAGACAACACTGCGGACGGCATTTTTTTTTCTTTTCCATCGACTGCAATGAAGTTTGGTGCGTTATCGGGTGTTGGTAGGGCATTGTCATGAACGTACAGACGGTCGTGGTCCATTATTGATTAAAATCAGACATTTTTATTCTGTGATATTAATATTATGTTTGTGATTAAAAGCCAGAACATAGAGTAATAATGAATGATTCGTGATAATGTGATTACAATAATCTAAAATTTTAGGTCGTACTGTTAGCTAGTTCTGGCGCTGTACTAGTATACAACTGTTGTGATTACTGGGCATGTGTCCCATGTCCTCAACAATAATTCAAATAATCTGTAATTATCATTATTCATATTTTATTGTTTGACAATGCCGCTGAATGATTTACTATCCACGCTTGGCGACAATCCGTACTTCGGTGCAGGCTTTGGTCTGTTCGGGCTCGGATTGGGGGCGGCCGTGTTGCGCAAGGGCGCCTCTGCTGGTCTAGTATTGTTTCGCCGAAATTTCATGATGACCTTGGAAGTACCGTGCCGTGACAAAAGTTATCAATGGGTGCTGCTGTGGGTTACACAAAAAGCAGCCAAGCGTACTCAACACCTGAGCGTAGAGACAACTTTCGAGCAAATGGATACCGGACGAGTGAACACCACGTATCATTTCTTACCCAGCATTGGAGTACATTTAATCGAGTTAGTTGCACATCTTATCCTCTCAGTCATTTATCATAGCCAGAATTAGTACTATAAAGTTTTCTGGAATATACCTCAATTTGTAATGTTCCACTAAGTACATCATCACTCATCTTAATTGCTAGAAAATTTAGTAGTTATGATTATAAAATAAAATTGCTTAAAAATAAATGTACCTACTTTGTTTAAATTCTAATGTATATCATTGATATCTATTATAATAAAGTACATTTTTTCAGATATAACGGTAAATATATTCAAGTAACAAGAACTAGGGAACAACAATCATTAGATTTACATGCTGGTGTTCCGTGGGAAAATGTTGTACTCACCGCATTTGGCACAAATAAGTCATTATTCACTAATATATTAGAAGAAGGTAAAATGTAAAATAGCCATTTGCTATATACATTAGTACATTACAATTGATTTTGATTATTTTGTCAGGTAGCTCGTCAAATGGCTTTAAAAACATTGGAAGGCCGTACAATTGTATATACCGCTTTGGGGTCAGAATGGCGTCCTTTTGGACATCCGCAAAAGCCTAGGCCCCTAACATCAGTTGTATTAGATGATGGTATTTCTGAAAGAATATTAAAAGATGTACAAAAGTTTATTTCCAAACCTTATTGGTACATTGAACGTGGAATACCCTATCGAAGAGGTTATTTATTGCACGGTCCACCTGGTTGTGGAAAAACATCTTTTATTAAAGCTTTAGCGGGAGAATTGCAATATGGTGTATGTTTATTAAATTTAAGTGAACGTGGACTCACAGATGATAGATTAAACTATTTAATGACTGCTGCTCCTCAAAATACAATAATATTATTAGAAGATATAGATGCAGCTTTTGGCGGAAGACATGAATCTAAACAAGGTATTCTTTAATTCATAATTGTAAATGTCTTAATCATTAAATAAAAATGTATAATTTTTTTAGTTACTTCTGCTTATGATGGATTGAGTCGGGTAACATTAAGTGGCTTATTAAATGCTCTTGATGGGGCTGCTTCATCTGAAGCTAGAATATTATTTATGACAACAAATTACATTGAAAGGTAAGCAAATTGTTCTATACTTATTTAATAAAAATACCATCATTTATTGATTTGTTATATTTAGACTAGATGCTGCATTGATTAGACCTGGTAGAGTAGATTCAAAGGAGTATATCGGTCATTGTTCACAATCGCAAATTGAACGAATGTACAATCGATTTTTCCTAGAAAATAAAGACAATGAAAAATATGCTAAAGAATTTGCAGAAACTGTTTTTAAAACAGGAAAACCTGCAAGTGCGGCTCAAATCCAAGGTTATTTTATGTTATTAGAAGACTCTTCTCCCAGTGAATTAATTAAGAATTATAATTTAATTTGGGATACATAAAAATTGATAAATACAAATTTGTTATATAACTATGCAATTATTGTTACCTATCTGTTCTCAATTAGTGTTATTTATCAAATTATAGTTTAAAAAAAAAATTATAAAGAAAGAGCCTGTTAACAATAAATAACGCATATTTAATTTTGTAATGATAGTAAAATAAACTATATTTATTTTTATTTTATTGTATTAATTCTAATCAGTAACAATAAAATTAAATGAACACCGTCCAAAAAGTATTTTAAAATAGAATATTTATCATTTAGACAGTTAAGATACATAATTTAGAGAACATATTATTCAATACAATTAACTAAAAGTTAAAAATGAAGAAATAAAGAAATAAGTATGTTATTAGAGTCAAGGAGTCAAAAATATAAAATTTCCAGTTCATACTTTATTTTAATAAACTAATGGGGTATTAGAACAAATGGAAATTTTTATGTAAAACTAGTTTTTGTACTTAAAATTTCATCAAATTATTATATTAGCATTTTCTATACATAATTAATAATTTCATTACCATTCTTAAATAATATGCTAGGTCTATATTTTAACCAATGCTACATATATTTAATGAATACAGTACTTCACTTAACTTTAAATACTAATAAACTTATAACTCACAAACTACTAAAACTCGATTTTTATAACCCAATTACTCTAAAAAAATATTCTGCTTTGAAATAAGTATTTCTCAAAATTATGTTAAAAAATATATTCAAAAACTTTAATAATTGTTGAAGTTATGATTATATCTCATAAATTAAATGAAACATAATTATAATGTCATTGTTCATTGGTATTGCTTTTAGTGCTTGCAACTAATGTTTTACGGACTAATTATTGTAAGTCATTAAAAATTGGCAAAAGAACATGATATGAAAAAAAAATCAATTTTCTTTGGATATAAAAATGTACATACTGTTGAAATATCACGCAAAATGATTAATCTCTTTAAAATTCAATCTAACTGGTATAAATAAATAACAATCTGTTCAAAAAAACAGTCAATAATAATATAGCTTTGTTTATAAAAATTAAAAATTAATTTTTGTTTACAATACTCAGTAAGAGAATATCAAAATTCTATTGACCATTAATAATACAAAATGTATGTATTTAAATATGATTAAGATGACACAAACGTTATACATTCAATTTTACAGTTAAATCAAAAAGGTATAATTAATACTTTTATTTTCAATGATAACGTGAAAACAAATTTTTAAAAATATTCAAAAAATTTTTATATATTTATAAACATTTGAAATTTGAATTAAATTTTTAAAAAAAATCTTGAAAATATGAGTAATGAGTACACATTCACCATGTTTTATAACTTTAAGTTATTAATATACAAGATCTATTTAAAGTTTACAAGAATGAAGTTTATGAAAAAGAGTATTCATGCGTAAAATAATAGTTTTTCACACTTTTTTTACGCTGCAAGAAGTATTATCATTGATTATTAATTATGATGTATATTATTATATACAATACATCAGGGATGGGCCACTGGCGGCCCATGAGTCTTCATGCTAAATTTTCAAATTACATCATACAATTTTAAAATTAAAAATTCACATTATAAACAAAATAAATGCTAATTAAAATGCATATTTTAAATGATTTTTTTTTTTCTATGTTCTGGCTCACTAGATTTTAATTTTCTAAAAATTGGACCTCTAGTAATTTTGAATTGCCCATTCCTGATATATACAGTGAGATTTTCCTTTCGTATAGACTAATTGTAAGTTATTGCTTATTTATACTACCAACTTGTTTACAGTGCTCCACAGTTAATTGATGTGTAGGTAACAAACTATAAAATTACTTGAGCAATTAATTTAAAAAATTGACTAGTCATTAAAATAATCAAAATTCCTAAAATTAGTATAATTTTAAGCAAGGCTCTACATTTTTACATACTTAAAATACTTTTTCACATAAAAGTAAAAATATAAACTTTAAAAAAGTGTTATCAGTTATCACATATTATGATAAATTATTTGTCAATCTGTAATCAAAATAATAAAACAGTGAAACCTCTATTAATGGACCCTTCCAATAGTGAACACTTTTAAATTCCCCAGCAAAAATGTATACACATAATAGGAGTTATAACCTCTTAATAGTAGACATGGACAATAAAAAGTGGTACTAAAATTAAATATTACCACTCATAAATGGAAACAATACAAGTATAAATCAAAAATGTTTTAGTAATAAAAATGCTACATTTATTTTTTATAGATTTTGTTCATATTTTATTTTATCTTAAATGTTTTCCTATTCGAAAAATGACAAATGGTTTGGTTATGTGCTCCAGTCATCAGTGTGAGTACATACTTACGTTAAAATTATAATAAGCATTTTTATACCCAATTTTTGCTACATGCATATTAAATATGTAATAAATAATAAATTTATATTACAATATAAACCAATTTCAATGTATATATATAACCAATTCTATATAGCATCTCCCTATAGTGGTCATTTAGTAATTTTTTATAAATATATACTTTTAAAGATTTTTTTACTAATGGACAACATTTTTTAATTCCCCATGGCTATCCACTATATAGAGGTTTCATTATACACATTTTTTACATCAAATCTTATTAAATTAATCACTATTTAATATAAAAGTTTAAGACTAATAAATCAAAAATTGGTTTGTAGACATTTTACATTTCTTTAATTAGTAGAATAATAATCGATAAAGAATTAAAAAATTAATGGCAGTTGATTGGTATAATTAAATATAATTCATACGATAATATATTATTTACTATCAAAGTATATCAAATTATCTTAATTTTATATTTTATTTACAATTAAAATTTATAACTTATCAACCATTTTTAGTATATGACGTTGCTCTTGTTCCTGCCATTCTTTATCACCATCCTCACCTAGATTTCCAGCATATTCTATAAAAAAAATATATTGTTTTGGGATTTAACTAATATTAAATTAAACATTTAATTAATATTGTTGAAAATACTTTATAATTTATATCTATATTACTCTCAATAAATTATTAAAAAATATATAAACAAAAACATAATGGCTTATTCTAATAAATAATAGTAATAAACTTAATTCAATACCTCTCATTATTTGTCGAATAGTTTTTAATGTTCCACCTCGCATGTTTAAAATGTGAGTTACTCTCTTTTTAATGTTTGGTCCACTATTACAAACTTCTAATATAATATAATCAATCAGTTGTAAAGAAAATAAACCTCCATTTAAACGTTTCAAATAAATTTCATCTTCATCTTCTTCACCAGTGCTCTAAAAAACAGTGTTTTTAATAATTGCAAATATTATGGTTACATAATTATCAATTTACCTTTTCATCAATTTCAGCATCAATAATTTCAACCTTTTCCATATATTTGAAATGAAGTTCCATGAGTCTATCAACTTTTTCCATATCATTTTCAACAAATTTAGTCATGAGACGTTGTCTTTGTGTACCACGGCAGTTACGTAACATATTGGCAATTATTGAAATAACGTGTTCTGCAACAATATGTATATATGACTTTTCTTAAGCCCTTAAATAACGAATATAATTAAGTACCTTCATGTTCTTCTGTACTAAGCATTCTTTTTCTGTTCTTTTTAGGAGTTTTCATGAATAGTGGGAATATAGTCCGAAGTCCCAAAATATCTACAAATTTGTTACAATTGTCTTTGCCTTGTGGACCTGACAATGCATGATTCAATACTTTTAATGAACCATTTCTACTTAATTTTTTTTCCCTGAAACATTTAGTTTTTCAAAACTTCTTACAATTATATTTAACAAACAAAAAATATAATTGTTGATTAAATAATAAATTACCTTAATATAAGATTCATTAGCTGAAGACCTTCACCTTTCAAGAATCTATCTCTGTTTTGTTTATCCATTAAACAAGAACAAAGACAATCAAAAAGATTTTCCATCATTTCTTGTTCATCAGGAGAAGCAGGATCATGTCTTTTATAATACTAAAAATTAAATTAAATATTGTTAAAAAACAATTTTAAATATAATCTTTAATAACTGCTTTATTTACTGCTAGTTGTTGTAATAAATTGTCAATCCCTCCAATTTCTCCAACTAAAGCTCTATTATCTTCATTGTTTTGTAACAATATAGATAATATTTCACTACTATAAAGTTTATTGCCATCATAAGGCATTTTAGCTTTAATTCTTTTTAAAAGCCATTGAATAAGGCCTTGTTTACCAACATCTACTACAATATCAGGCCTTAGTTCCATAATATTTTCAAATATTCCTAAGGTTGTATGTACACCATTTGCTTCTTCTTTAACAGATTCATCCAAACGTTCAAGATTTTGTACTAATAAAGCACATATCTGTTTACTTAATAATGCATCAATCAATATTTCTGTACCTTCTTCATTTTCGTTTAAAGAATCAAGATCAGTCAATTCCTATAATAATGGATGTAATACAATAACTTTATAAAAATAGATTATATATTATAAATTACAAACTTGTAATAAATTGACAACTGCAACTGCTATATCAGTGTTTTCATGAGAAAGTAATTCTAACAGAGATACAACAGCTTTTAAATTGACTAAAATAGGATACAAATCTGGAACAGTTGCTATAGCATGCATTTCTGTTAAAATATCGTGCAATTCTATTTCTGATTCCATAAACCTAAATTAAAATAAGTTAAAATATAATAATGAATATAAATCATACTTTAAAAATTACTTTTCAGGATTTTCAGGAAATTTTATTCGCATTTCTTGGTTCTTCAACACTTTCTTTTCAAACAATAAAATCATACGTTTTAGAGCTGCTTCATCTAAAACCCCATCCTATGAAAGTAAAAAACATGAATATCTTATATAAATCTCAAATATTTATATTATTTTACTTAATTATGTTAATATAACATTATAAAATATTTGATATGTTTTTTGATTTAAGAATATCAAAAAAATTATTTCCTTACATCAGCATCAGCAAGATTTTCGTCAACTAATTTTTGCACCATATCTTGCCGTTCTTGTTTCAAACGCTGTTCTTCTGCGAGTCTTTCATGTTCTGCTTTCAATCGTTCTTGCTCTTGTTTTTCAATTTGTTGAACACGATGTTTGGCTAATCGTCTAAGTTTTTTCTGCCGTTCATAATCTGTTTCATTTTCTTGAATTTGATTAACTTCTTCTTCAGGTAATGGTCGTTTTGGAGTATTAGCAGGCTAAAACGAAATCACAATACATTAGGTACTGATATATTATTAAATATTACTAAGTTATTTGACAGACATGTGTTGTTTATCACATACTTTGTAGTCTAATAGTTCTCCGATATCCATGACTGGTTAGTTTAAGTAACAGTATTTAAAAAAAAAAATTTAGTTGGTTTTTTTGGAAATATACTAATTTTATGTGCCGCAGCCGTTGATTAACATATAACGTTATTTTATTTTAATATGTATATTTTTCTTAAATCAGTCAAAATGATAATATTGATAACAATGTTTACAAATTTTCAAACATGGTTATTGCAGGTCCAGAAACTGTAAATTAAAACTTAAAACCATGGTCGAAGAATAAGAGGATTGGTATTTTAATAGTTATGGTTTAATATCCCTATCAATATCGACAATATCAAATTATCAAACTATATAGCATTATTTAATATTTTGCTTGCTATTCTACATTTACATTATTCCATTTCAAAAATCCCTTGTCCATTACACGACATAGCAATTTAAAAAAATACAAGCAATATCTTATATCTATGATTCCAATGGCCTTTTAGTTATTGAAACAAATATCTATTTACACGTTATTACATCTATCTGTTTTGATTTTTAGAACTAATTGTATTATGGAACAAATTTTGTTCTACAATACACGTGACATTACTTATTTCACCAAAAATACATTAAGTTCATAAAATATTTGTTCTAAACATAGGCAACATATAAGGTCTATGGCTATTGGTTCTAAAAGATGTCAATACTTATACAATGAAATATTTGTTATGTCTACCTATACATTTTAAATTTGTTGTAATTCAAAAATATTTTTTGTACTTTGTATGAACTTAAAACTGTTAAACGTTATATAATACATAAGTATATTTTTATTTACTAAAAATTATGTATCAGGCATAGAACCAGAAAATACTGTCGCAGAAGAGGGAGGGGGGGGATATTGGATTGAATTTTAGCCAAAATCTTTTTGAAATAAGTGTTGGTACAATGTAAAATAATAGGTAAATATTATTATTCAAATTCCTATTTGTCAGTACAATTAGATTAGTAAAATAGATGGTTAATTAGGTTAAATTAATTGTACATAAAATTATATAACAATTATTAATAAAATATAAAATATATCATCCAAAGAAAAAAAGATCACAGAACAAATTCAACAAAATCATTCCGTCTTAATCAGTATTTTAAAAATATGTCTAATTTGTCAATCTTTATGTCTTATACTAAGCCGACCTCTAATGGCCTTTAGTAAAGTAGGTAATAATTTTCAACTATGAATTCGTTAATTTTTTAAAAATTATAATAAATATAAAACAGTCGGTGACACTATAGTAGAGTGAACTTTTTTCCCATGAAGCAACTATCTATCCCACACACCAATTGTTCCCGTGTGTAAAGTTCATGCTCATTTGTCCATTGCCAATTTGTGTTTTAACACAAAATTGTCCTTCGTTATACAATTTATTTATCTTGTTATAAAATTCAACTTCGTTAAAATCACATCAAAAGTTACTATACCTATGTTTTTTGTAATAACTTAAAATGTAATAGAAAAATATTATCAAAAGTAAATCGTCTGCCAAGACTATGTAAAAGATTAGTGAAATAATAATAACAATATTTAAAGTGAATGGCGCGTAGTGTGTTTGTATAACAATTGTTTGTTTAAAAACTTAACCATTAACAAATCAATAATAATAATAAGTACAATATCATAAATTATTAACTACACATTTGAATATTATACTAGACTAAGTATTAGAGGCTAGTGAAACTCACAGTGAGTGAATACCTACCTCGGATAGGAAACAGGACTCGAGAGAAAATACAGGGAAAAGTCTATAATTAGTTGGGTGATAACGATATTAGTGACGTTGTATGACTAATTTAGTGGCTTTGTTTTAAATTTAATTTGGTGTTGTTTTTTAAGGCATAATTGAATAAATAAATCTATGAAAGCCAAATTTGAATATCTAGCATTCGGTCATCATTCATCAACCAGTGTAGTACCTTATTCCTACACTTGCCCGATGCTTTTTTTCATTTTTTGTACGTAAAATAAATAAATTTCAAAAATGGTAATCGAGTGCCTAGCTAACGGAGTCATCAACCGGTGAAAATCGATATCCGGCTGGGCAATCCGGCTACGGCGGATTGGATGTATTTCCCGCAGCTTGACCGGTACTTTTTTTGTATGTAAAATAAAAATAATTAATTCCGAAAATAGCAATTGAATGCCTAAATAAATAAAATCCATCAACCGGTGTAAATCGGTTAGACAGCGCTTTAGTCGCTAAATTTCTGCCACCGCAAAATCCTCGTTTAATAATATTTATTATTTAATCACAGAATAAATGTAATTTAACCAGAGCAAGCTGATAATATTACTGTCGCTGTCCCGCCCACTACCAATCCAATCAGTGAATCGGTATTCAGTCTTTACAGTGTACATTCTATACCATGATTTGAGATAGTGGTCCATACTATCTTTTATCATTTACCTTTATTTTCAAATTTTCAATACATTACAATATCTAAGATTAATCGCTTTTGCAGCATAATATTCTACTTGTTTAGTCGTTAATCGACAAACTGAACTTTTTCAAACGACCGAGGATCGCAATCGGTTAATCGTCTTCTGTATCCGCTTTCCATGTTTGACTTGTAATACCATCTTATATAATATTAATTTTCAATTCTGGGCATGCGTTATTAATATATTATGATTATGCTGTAACGTAATATAGAATATAAAAACCTATTACACGATGTCAGGCGATAGATATTTCTATTATTATGGGGCAGTAGTTATAAAACAAACAGGAAAGACTGATTTTGGCACCCACTACGTATCGCCGGCAAAATTAGCAGACTCTACATGCTTAGTAATATTGATATGTTTTGATTGTTACTGACTTTATTGCAATCGCGGTGTGGCTCATGACTACTTCAGTTGAAAGTTTTAATTTAATACTATTTTAACACTGATGGATTGTCTTAGTAAGGCTATTGTTGATAGTCATATTGTTTACTGTCATAATTTTTATGTACTAATATTCTTATTAATGTACTATTTCACATTTCATTAAATAAGGCCAATAAGGAATGTTATTAAATTTGTAAATAAGTCTTTTATTAATATTTTTACCAAATGTTAGTTCCTATTACATAATTTTCTGTTCATTTTGGCCTTACTATTTCATTGGTAATTTCTTTGTTATGAGCCAAACTATTGCATTATTGTATGTTAAACTTTTATTTTTATTGTGTAGTTGATGATTTAAATAATATTTTTAGTTATAGAATGAAAATTATCTAATATTGATCAATTTTATTTGAAATGGAAACACACAGAATAGATCAAGATAAACAATCTTTAATAGACATATTAGAGACATTAAATTTGGGTTCATCTGAAGTATTTATTACATTCTATGATTTCTTATATATATTATATAAATTACTACAGTTTGTAATTATGTTTATTTAGATTGATGACACCGAGTTCAATATTCCTAAAGTCAATGATATTCCTACTGTAGAAAGTATATTAAATGATGGAGATATTTCTTTATTAAGTGAAGATGATATAACCGTCTACCAGGACAAAGTAAAAATATAAATAATAAAATAATTTCTTATAAATTGTTGTAATAGTATATAATATTTCTAACTTTAAGTTATAACTAATAACCATTTAATGAAATGTATATAGAATATAGAAACATATTTAAACATTTTAATACATTAATTTAATTATGTAGTATAATAATTCATTCTCATTTTGTTTTAGTTAAAAGTACCATGGTATGATTCAGGAACTGATTCTAATTCATTAGGTAGCTCAAACAGTTGTCAAATTAACACCGAACAGCCACCAAAATGCTTAAACTTAAAATCAGATCCTGGACGAATTTTACGCCATACAATTCTGAAACCTGTTTCCAATCAAATGCATTCATTTTGTGTAAGCTTATTTAGTCTACATTTTCTTTTAAAAAATATGTTAAAATACATTTAAAGTACCTATTTTATTATTTACAATAGAATCGTTTTGATGCTGGACAACCTAGTGCTATTAAGTTTTCACTTCTTATTGCTATTGGTACAAGCAAAGGTTTTATAATTTTATTTGATTCTTTACAAACATTCCAATGGTATCATGAAGCTGTTAACTGTGGTGCAGTGTCTGCAATAGATTTTAATTTTGATTGTTCTCGACTTATTGTTGGATACATAAATGGAACAATAATAATGTTTGATTCTTCTTCTACTACTTGTAAAATACTGAGAGTCATGAATGATGCACATACTTCAGATACTGCAGTGTTGCATCTTAAAGTAAGTCTTAAATAAAAAATATTTTTGCAAATCGGCACAATTTTATTGATAAATTTAAATTATCCTTCTATAAATTATGCTGTATTTATAAATTTTTATTATAGTTTACAGATTTGCCGAATTTAGCTATTGTGAACAATAGTTCTGGATCTGTGTTTGAATTAAATTTTAAAAGAAATTTTGGTATACGTAGTGTTGAATCAAAATGTTTATTTTCTGGTGGTCGTGGAAGAGTATGTTGTATTGAACCATTATTATTCAATCAATTAGCCAATCATCCTATGAATGGCTATGTAATAATAGCAATGGCTACTCTGTCTAAAGTAAATTTATTATTTTTTGGTTACTTACAAAAACAATAAATTATATATATGTTTACAAAAAATTATTTTAAATTTAATTTTAGGTAATCATTGTTACAATTCGACCAAACACTGAACTACTATTATCAAACAATATAATTTCATCACGCCCATGTTTACCATTACTATCTTGGCAGTTTGTTATTATACAGTTTAATAAAACATTCAATTCGAGTCATAGAATTATGGACCCAGTATTAGCCTTCACACGAGATGATACTGTCTACTTTTATCAAGTAACTTTTCATGATGTGATTTTCAAATGCTTACTCTATAAATATTTTTATTCTATAATATTAGGTTAATATCAATGACCAAGATCGTCTATGTTGTTGTATTTTACAAAAAATAAAATTATCATACCCAATAATTGCATGCAGCTGGATGAATGCACGCACTCTATTGACTATGGACTCATCAGATAAAGTTCATCTTGTTGATGTTCGTGTAGGAGATGAAATGGAACAGTCAGATCTTTTAAATATTTCCTTAGTTTATACTTCTAG